GCTTTATTAAATCAGTTTGGCAAAATTGATTAAGTTCCTTATTCATAAGGGTTTTAGTATCGCCAACGTTAAGTTAATCGAAATCATGTAGCTAAATTCAGTTAAAACATGAATTAATTTTGCGAATCAAGTATTAGGACATAATTTGAATTAAAACAAGGATAATCAAGGTTAAATTATTTAATTTTTAGAAATACGGTTTAGTAATCAAAATTATTTCTAATTTTCAGTATTTGTAAATAATTAATTTCAATAGCTCAAGTCATCTAACAATATGATTTTCAATCCGACTATGGGATAATTAGTTTTGTTTTTAAAAACAAAATTATTTGACAATTCTATGTTGTATTTATAATTATAATTTTAGTAATGATCAAAGCGGTTAAAAGTTAAATTTTGCACATAGGTTCAACATGTATTAAATCAGATAATCATGCCAAATATGACAGTTGAGCGACCGTGCTAGAACCACGGAACTCGGGAATGCCTAACACCTTCTCCCGGGTTAACAGAATTCCTTATCCGGATTTCTGGTACGCAGACTGTAATATGGAGTCATTCTTTTCCTCGATTCAGGATTAAAATTGGTGACTTGGGACACCTTAAATCTCCCAAGTGGCGACTCTGAAATAAATAAATAAATCCCGTTTTGATTGTCCTTTAATTGGAAAAAACTCCTACGCCCCTCGCGGGTGCCGGAAAGAGGAGGTGTGACAGGAAGTACTTGAGGTGGGCGGCATTCCAGTTATTTTGCAATAGTTTTCCTTCCATTGTTTCTAGTTGGAATTCTCCTTTAGTGGCTGCTGCTGTGATGTTATACGGTCCGTCCCAATTTGTTCCCAGTTTCCCTTCATTCGGGTCCTTCGCTGCTTGTGTTTTGGCCTTTAGTACGTAGTCCCCGACTCTAAGTGGTCGTACTTTGGCCTTCTTGTTATAGTACCTTTCTGCTTGTTATTTTTGGGGCACCATTCTTATGTGTGCCATATCCGTTCATTCTTCGACCTCATCCAGGTCTTGTAACCTACTTTCGTCGTTGTTCGATCCACTCTCATTGGAGTATCTCAGGCTAGGTTCCCCGACCTTAACGGGTATGACTGCATCGGTGCCATAGACCAGGGAATACGGTGTCTCACCTGTGCTGGTCTTTGGCATTGTGCGGTAGGCCCATAACACTTCCGGTAGTAGTTCCAGCCATAGCCCTTTGGCATCTTCAAGCTTTTTCTTTAATATGTTTAATATTGTTTTATTGGACGATTCTGCTTGACCGTTGCCGGCAGGATGATATGGCGTGTAGAGTATCCGCTTGATATACTATTTTTCGAAGAACTCACTTGTCTTTTTCCTGACAAACCGGGGTCCGTTGTCGCAACTGATTTCTTTGGGGATGCCAAAGCGGCATATGATGTTTTTCCAGATAAACGTGATGATTTCTTGTTCACGTATTTGGGCAAATGCACCTGCTTCCACCCATTTGAAAAAATAGTTAGTTAAAACCAAAAGAAAACGTGTCTTACCTCGCCCTGCTGGGAGGGGCCCGATGATATCCATCCCCCATTTTATGAATGACCATGGAGAGGTAACGGAGTGCAGGAGTTCCCCTGCCTAGTATATCATAGGGGCGTATTTCTGGCATTGCTCACATTTCTTGACGTACTTGGCGGCCTCTTTTTTCATAGTGGTCCAGTAGTATCTTGCACGAATAAGACACCTAACGAGGGCTCGGTTGTCGGTATGGGCGCCGTAGTGGCCTTCGTGTACCTCTTCGATCACACGCCTTGTTTGATTGGGTCCGATGCATTTGGCTAACGGGCCACCGAACGTCCTTTTGTAAAGGTCGTGGTTTATGAAACTGTATCTGGCCACTTGTATTCGGAGCTTTTTGGCTTCTTTTTTATCTTGTGGGAGTGTTCCTTCCTGTAGATATGATATGATGCGATTACGCCAGTCCCAAGTTAAATTTATGGAATGTACCTCGATTTGTTCTATTGATGAGTGGAGAAGGGTGACCACGTTCTCCTTGGTGATGTTTTTAGTTGCTGCTGCCAGCTTGGCGAGACCATTTGCTTCGATGTTTTGTGCTCAGGGTATTTGGTCGAATCGACATTCGTCGAATTCCGGCAACAGTTTGTGGATTTCGGTCTGGTATTTCTACAACCTTTGTTCCTTAATTTGGAAAGTCCCAATGACTTGGTTCACAACAAGTTGAGAGTCGCAGTGGAGGATGACCCGCCGAGCACCATACTTGAGGTCCAATTTTAATCCTGCAATTACAGCCTCATACTCGGCCTCATTATTAGTCATTTCAGGACATCGTATAGACTGACGAATTACTTCTCCCGTTGGGACTTCGAGTACGAGTCCCAGTCCCGATCCCGACGCGTTGGATGTGGCGTCGGTATAGAGGACCCAGTGCTCGGATTGCTAAGATGAAGTGCGGAGCGCTTCTTGCTCGACTTCGGGCAGTATCTCTGCGTTGAAATCGGCGACGAAGTCGGTGGCACTTGTGACTTTATTGCGGTTCGCGGTTGGTATGTTATATCGTGCTCGCTCAGTTCTATGGCCTATTTGGCCAGCTGACCCGATAATTCGGGTTTGTGTAGGATACTCTTGAGAGGAAAGGTTGTCACCACCTTTATGGGGTGGCACTGAAAATATGGTCTAAGCTTTTGTGAAGCTACGACTAACGCTAGAACCAGTTTTTCAAGGTGGGGGTAACTTGTTTCAGCGTCAATTAGGGTTTTGCTGATATAGTAAATTGGAGATTGCGTACCTTGGTTTTCCAAACTAGAACTGCACTTACCGCGACTTCGGATATGGCTAGGTAGACTAGGAGGCTCTTTCCTGGGTCTGCTTTGGCGAGTAAGGGTGGCGAAGACAAGTACGCTTTCAGTTTCCTCAGGGCGTCGACGCACTTTGCATTCCACTGGAGCTCGTTGTCCTTCCTTAATACATAAAAGAATTTATGGCACCTATCCGATGACTGTGAGATGAACCTCGACAGGGCTGCTATCCGTCCCATCAATTTTTGTACCTACTTTTTGCTGGTCAGTGTTTCGGGTATTCCTTCGATGGCCTTAATCTATTTCGGGTTGAACTCGATGCCTCTTTGTGACACTAGGAAACCGAGGAACTTTCTTGAGCTTACACAAAAGGCACATTTTTTGGGGTTTAGTTTCATGTCGTATCGTCTCAATATGTCGAAAGCTTCCTTCAGATGACCGATATGATCTTCTCTCCTTTTCGACTTAACCAGCTTATCGTCGATATAGACTTCCATTGTTTTACCAAGTTGGTTTTTGAACATTTTGGTGACCAATCTCTGATATGTCGCCCCCGCATTCTTTAGTCCGAATGGCATCACTTTATATTAGTACGTTCCCTGGTGAGTGATCAAAGTGGTTTTCTCCTGCTCTTCTTCTTCCATGAGGATCTGATTGTAACTCGAATAAGCATCTAAGAGCTTAGCAACTTGTGTCCTGCTGTTGCGTCGATGAGCTGGTCAATGTGTGGTAATGGAAAAGAATCTTTCGGACATGCCTTGTTTAAGTCCGTGAAATCTACACACATTCGCCATTTTTCATTTTTCTTTTTCACCATGACCATATTGGTGACCCATTGAGGATATTTCGATTCCCGAACGGAGCTATTTGCGAGTAGCTTATCGACCTCTTCGCTGACGGCTTCGTTGATTGCGGAGTTGAACTTTCTTCTCATTTGCCGCACTGACGGATATAGGGGGTCGACGTTTAACTTGTGGGTGGCGATATTTTTTGGGATGCCTGGCATATCTGCATGGGAGAAGGCAAACAGATCGGCATGGTCAGTCAAGAACTTATGAAATTACCTGGTTCCGAGAGGTTGTGCCCGATATAAGCCTTTTTGTGCTGTCGTTGCCGTCTAGCAAGACGGGATCAAGATTTTCTATCGTTGATTCGGATGTTTCCACAATATCGGGGTCCTTGATAATGTTTGTCCGCGCATTAAGTTTGGCTCCCGACATTGCTGATTGTTATGCTTCCGCATTTGCTCCTTTGAGTTGTTGGGTGTGTGCGCAATCTTGGGCGATGTGATAGCATTCTTGTGCGATGTGTTGCTCTCCTCGAATGCTGAATATCCCCCATGGGGTAGGAAACTTGATCACTTGATAGAGACTGGAAGGGACCGCTCGCATGCCGTGTATCCACGGGCATCCTATGACGGCGTTGTAAGCTTTTTCCTGGTTCATGATGTGAAATGTCATTTCTAGGGTGACTCCTCCGGCTAGGACAGGTAGCACTATCTCTCTAGAAGTACATTCAACTGCATTATTAAAACCTGTTGGCGTTATACAATGCAGTATTATTTTATCTTCGAGTCTCATCCGCACGAGGACTCAAGGATGAATAATACATGCGCCGCTCCCGTCATCTACCGTTATTCTTTTTACATCAGTATCTACAATACGTAAAGTGATAACAAGAGCATCATAGTGAGGGAAAGACAAACCGTCGGCATCTGACTTATCAAAGATGATACTGCCTTCGATGTCATCATACTGTTCATGAATGATTGATCATTTGAGTTTGTGTGTGGTGGTGAACTTGACATGATTGATTGCTGCGCCGTCGCCCCGCAGCTGATCATCTGTATGGTGCGAGCGGGAGAAGGCGATTTTGGAGGTCCTTGGGGTTGTTCACATCCGCGGGCGAAGTTAGTCCATCCTCGATCGCTCAGCAGCTCCTTCAGGTGACCCTGGTTTAGCATTCGTACTGCTTCCTGTCGTAGCCTCTGCAATCTTCGGTCTTGTGACCCCTTTCTTGGTGAAATTTGCAGAAAGCACTTGACTTCCGAGTGATGGGGTCTGACCTCATCTTTTGCGGCCATTGCACCTTTGGACCGAGTTTCTCTAGGGCGTACACTATTTTTGAAGGAGAAACACAAAAATTATGAGCGGATAGGAGTGGAGGCATACCTTTCTCATGTCGATATAGTGCCGTATGTCGAGGGGGAGCATCCGTGCGTCATGGTGGAGGCGGGGCAGACGTTCTGACGTAGGGTTGATGCCTTTCCTGACCAGAGCGGGGCCCCAACTGATCTCTTTGACCCTCATTGCGATGATCTTTCTTTGCTTCAATTTGGAGTGACATCAACCGTTGGGTCGGGCTGTTTATATCATCCTCATCGGCTCGTACCTTGGCACAGTAGGCGTTATGGATTTCTTCCCAAGTAGTTGGAGGGTATTTCATGAGCCTGCTTAGCAATTTTCTGGTCGCTCTCGAACCGTTTCTGTTTAGTCCATTCTGGAAGGCCGCTACTGCCATTCTCTCTGTCACATTTGGCAAGCTCATTATCACCCTATTGAACCGAGCTAAGAAGTCCCTGATCCTCTCGCCGTGCATCTGTCTTATGGCAAATATATCCTTTACCCTAGCCTCTGCCTTTTTGGCTCCTACATAGGCGGTGATGAATTTGTCTGCCATTTCCTCAAATGTTGCTATCGAGCGTGTTGGTAGTTGAGAGTACCATGTCAAGGCTCCTCCTGTTAAGGTTTCGCCGAACTTTTTCAACAGCACCGATGGTACCTCTTCTTTTGAGAGATCGTTGCCTTTTACGGTTGCAACGTAGTGGATGATGTGGTCTTCTGGATTGGTAGTACCATCATATATCTTTAAGTAGGGCGGCATCTTGAAGGTCTTTGGAATGGTATAGGAGGCCACTTTTTCACTGTATGGTTGCTCGATGAATCGACCAACATCGCGTTTTGGCAGCAACTTTGGAGCGCTTGGTATTTGGTCAACTCTCTCTTGGTGTTCTTTCATTTGCCTTATTCTCATTTTCCATCTCCTCCATTTTCTTGAAAACGGCTGCAAGCGTATCATTGTCTACGTTATTAGCAACATAAGTGTTACCTGTACGGGGGGCGTCTTGTTCACCCTCGTTTATCGTGACATCTGCATGTGCCACATTCTTATCATCCCTTTGGGTGGGTTTATCAAGAATGGTGTTCAAAGCATTTTTTATCCATTCTTTCAACAGTCTTCTTACTACCGGTGGTGCCTCCCCTGTTGCAGATGTGAAGGCTTCCCTTTCGCATGAAGCAGTCACGCTTTCATGCGGGGGAGGTGAAGTGTAAGACCTGGGTGTGATGTTTGGTGTTTCATTTTCGTGATCCTCTCTGCCATATTCCTTGATGGTGTCTAGGAGGTTGGCTGTGACACCTACTATGGCTTTTTGCCTTGCATCACCTTTCCCTGCCATTGTTGGTTGTACCAAGCTCGGAAGAAGTGATTATCCCTTTCAGGAGTCTAGATGAAACTATAATCTTAGCTAAAGAAATCCCCACGGACGACGCCAAATTGTTTGACCCAAAAGATTTTGAAACCTTTTTGATTAAATCAATTAAAGAAGATAAAAGGGTAAATCTCAACCAAGTATAATAAACTCTAGAATGAGGAACATAAGGGATGAACAAGGTAAATAATATTTATTGATCTCGTAGAACTGAATGATTAATCGTAAAAGAAATATCACCAAGAATGTAGAATAAATACTGGAATGGATGCTCTTAGTCGAAAGTTTCTTCCCCTTACAAGGTTTTTTTTCCTCACTATATATAAGGGACAACCCCCTTCTGAACTCTAGGAAACATATCATAGGGAATATTCGAAGTATATTCCTTAAGCCTCCTGTTAGACCTACATTACTGCGAAAGTCCTGCGTCCTCTATTCGCTTGTTGGTCGTCACCGTCTTCCACAACACGTCGTATTATAAAGATTTTATCTTTTGTCGTATTGGTCAGTAGCCGTGGTCGTCCATATTTGAACCTATACACATGTGAGGTTTAGAAATAAAGTTCAAATTGGTGCTCAATGTAATCTATGAAATGTGGAAGAAAATAAAGCTTTGTGAAATAAAAACTATGCCGTAATAGTTTAAAGGATATAATAGAACCTTATATATACCAATAGTCTAATGAAATTTTACGTCCTCATTTTACTTTAACTAGTTGCAGCTGATTATTTGTTTTATTTTCTAACTTATCAATTTAGGCTAATTACTAACTATAGATAGATACCTATTATTTCAAGTACTTAATCGAATGGTCTAAAAAGTTATATCGTCAACCTACGAACATTTAACTCATAGTAGTAGTTTAAATGCAAATTGTTCATTAAACTACAAGCTTAATTTGACTTTAGGCGCAGGTTGAACTGGATGAAAAGTCATTTGCTTGTTGTTTAGTAGGAATACATATTTTTTGTAGGGACGAGAGAGAGGGGAAGGGTCAGTTGCACTATTGCTTAGTAATATTATATATTATAATAAACTAGAAATAGAAGAATGGACCCATTCTGTTAATAGCTATTGAATTGACTACTACCACCCAACTAATACAGCTCCAATGGTGGTAGAAAGAAGTTCCAAAACTTCACAATACAAGCAAACAAAGATGAGTACCGTATAAATACAATATATATATATATATATATATATCACACTCAATATTTACATTATTTTCAGCTATGTTAGAATTTTCCCCGTCAAAGGGACGTTAGAGCAAATGCTTCTACAGATGCTGCTACTATGTTCACCATAATAATTAGGGGTACACGTAGTAGATTTATTTTTAGACTTTATAGTGATAGGTCATTATCTGTTGGAGATATAATGCACATGGTGTTGTAATCAATACGTTTATAAAACCAAAACATAAAAGTGAGATTTTTTAAGGTGATGGGGGTGTAATTGTCATTGCGTTTAATGTCTTTTTTGTGTCACTTTCATTTCACTAAATCAAAACATACTTAGAGAGAAAAGCAAGAAAAAAGGGAGAGAAAGGGAAAATGTCTTGGATATCAATTCAGGATAGCTAAACACATGTCTTTGAATTGTTTTAATCAATTCTACGATTTCGGTAAGCGTTTTTGGAGTCTACCAAAAGGATAGAAGAGACTTGAAGGAAGTCCCGTGATGAAGAAAGACAAAGGCCTTTGGAAAGTGACATTTGTTTTTGTGTTTTCTTTTTCTTTTTGTTTACGCGATTTTTACGAATTTAACTTAATCTATTATTTTTTACATGTATTATATATATATATATATATATATATATATATATATATATATATATATATATATATATATATATATTAAAATAAATTAGATATATTCATAAAATAATTTTATTATTTTTTCTGAATTCACTAACGAGCCCGTAACAAAGAATAAGAGGAAGGATGAAGAGGAGTAACAAAGAGAAAAGGTGAGAGAGAGACCCAGACATAGTGAGCTGGTGGTCTCCTACCTCACATGGCAAATTTAGCCTTATACTGTAATAAGCTGGAACCCACTTTCCACTTATAAGTCAGACTCCTCAGGCAAAGCTAAGGCTCCTCTTAAATTGTAATTGGTCCCCTTAGTTTCATCTGTTTTTTTATTGTTTATTTTGGGGGATAAGGTGACCTGTGATTTCATGAACAGAGATAAAGGAGAAAAATGAGTTTTGATCGAATTAGAACTTTACACGAAACCTACGCCCAGTTAAAACTTTACACATAACCATTAGCCTGCACTTTATTCACCTCAGATTTGTTAGTTTCTTAGTAATATATTACGTGTTTTAACAAGAATCTTACTAGGAAAGTTGATATATAAGAAAAAGAAGCTCAATTAATATTTGTATGTGCGAACAAGATCCTATAAATTAGAAATTGATAAGAACAAAAAAGATACACATAAGGTATGCAAGAATATTCTCAATTGTGTGAAACTTTTTGAGAATTATCGTAAGTGTCTACGGATAACATGGTAAACAAAGTATTTGTATTAATATAAGGTTCGAAAAGGCCTGTACTCAAATAATGTGACATAGACAATATATCTTAAAGAGTAAGTATCTAATCTAAAGTTATCTTGTAGTAGTGTCTTTTAGCTTGTTTGGATGATTGTTACCTATTGTATTGCATCGTATTGTTACTTTAAATATAATGTTTATTTTGATTGTGACTTAAATTTTATTATATCGTATCGTTAAACTGTCGTTACATAACGACAAAAAGTCTTATGGAACGATCAATTTGGTGTGATCGCGTTGTTACCTTTCCCCCCTCTCATGTTGCCCTTCCTCATTATTAAATAATCCTATTTTATCTTTTACCCTACCTTTTTATATAATAATTACCTTGTATCTTATTTTTTCTTTATAATATTTCAAGTTTATTCTTCATATTGTTAGTGCATAACATCATGAAACGACGACAAACAATACAGTATATCCAAATATTGTATACATCATAACGATATAATATAATACAATATAATAAAATACGATACAATACATTATAAAACGATACATAATAACCATCCAAACAAGTTGTTAAGCAAACCCAACCCAACTGTCTTCTTTGAATTTGATAATCCGAAACGTTGTTGTGGTTGCGATTTTATTGTTTTTGGGATAACTTCAGCCCAATACTGTAAACTAGGTACTCATTTATTAATCGAAATAAACATAAGTCACCCATACTAAAACTAGTATTATAATAATAAGAAGAAAAATACTCGTCGCCCTAACTACGATACAAAATTATGGAACCATGCATGGGCTGCGGCAACAAGTGTTGTATGTCTAGTGTGAACAAGACGCAGTACAAATGTACAATCCTACGAAAACGAGCTCACCTCTTTGACAATGGCGCAGTGGCACATTATTCGACATTAATTAAATTTTCCAAGTATGTCTGACAATTCATTTTTAATTGGATCTCCTCTACCGTACGTATTATTGGCTTCTTCTCCTTCTTTCTTTTTTCTTGGTAGCGTTGTGTTCCCTTCCTAGCACCTGCCCTAGAATCCTGCATCACTTATTTTGTTTGTAATGTAATTTGTATTATTTTATTTTCTTTTAGATTTTTCATTTTATTAGACATGATATCTTCTAAGTTAAACAAGAATTGAAACATTCTCAGTGAGTGTCGCAAACGTTACATCATATTCCATGGCAAAGAATATAGTTAATTTGTAATTTTTGTAGATAAATTAGCGGTTCACATCACTAAATTAAAAGGAAAACAAAAATATCATATTGAACACAAGACTACTAATGTCATCTGAAATAGAAATTAGCATGGCTTTAAAGTGCCAAGTATGTTCCCTTTCATTTTAAGTTTTTTTTTACTTCTACCCCAACCCAGAAACTATTTACATTCCATAATCGAAAAGTGTGTTATATATATATAAATATGTATTTTTTTGACTTTTATTTTAAGAGCGCTATACAAAGTCATTTTTCCTTATTTTTTTAACTACTTCAACCAAATCTATACTACTCCTTAACTTCTCAAAACCTAACAAAAATAGTGAAATTGAATGAGTATTTAACTGATTACTCTAAGATGTAACCAAGCTCGTTTGAGTAAAGAATCTATGAACATTGAATAATCATATAAAAAAAGTTTCATAAGACTCCCTTACCTATTTAAACAACTTAATTAGGATGGTCCATGCAAGGCATTTTCATTGACAAGATTAACATGTTAGCTGTTTTTAAAAATGCGGCTGTTTAATGGTCCACATAACGTGGTTAAAAGTTAAAAGGACTTTTCTAGACCTAATTAGCATTTACTAACCAAGTTCTAAGTACCTGATTAATGGATAAATGCATGATATTGACATCTAACCCTATAT